GCACTATTGATTGTATTTTTATAGTCTTCACAGGAATTTATTTCTCTATTATTTACAATCAGATAAGCACAATTTTGTATACACTTTATTAGATTTTTTACCTGTCTATAAAAATAGACGTTACAAGGTTGAACAAAAATAAAAATAAAATATTATCTTTAATTCACATTTTAATTAGCTGTAACAGTCATTTCATAAATGAAATAAAATTATTTATGATTTAATTGATAATATTTTTAAGTCATTAACTTTATTTGAAAGTTGTTATAATTTTTAAGACAATTAAAAAGTTAGCCGAAGGTAGGATCCGAATCTAGATCACCCACGTGGCAAGTGAGTTCACTACAGACTCAGCCATTTTTCTATGCTGCCATAGTGTAAAATCAACCAGTATATGAGCTGCGCTTAACTCTTTAAAGCCCTTTTTCTTGGAATATTCTGGCTAGTGCGCTTTACAATTCTTCTGGGTGAACTCCCTTGAGGTATACTACTAACCTGCAAAGTCTCATCCCAAACTGAATTTCCGAGACCATAAGGTCCCCTTGTTAGTTGTGTTCCTATATAATTCATTCTCTCAAGCAATTTTATGCATAATCATAAGAATTACAATGAGAGCAAAAGGCAAACTAGTACAAATTAAAGTTCTAGTATAAAGCATCCTACATATAGTATATTCTATAAAGTTCTTTTGCTTGATAAATTGGAAAAATAAATATAAACTAATTTAAAATTAAAATTATTTAATGAAAATTATAAAATTCAAATTTTTGAACCTATTATTTACATATATTAACTTTTGAGATTATTTTTGATTATATCTTTTGGTTGGGTTGAATAATGTCATGTCAGCTGTGAATTCATGATTTTATAAGAAATTACTTAACAAAATTAAACTTTCTATATTTATTAGTAGATAAATAATTGCATTGTAAAATTACAAATATCTAAATTTTTTCAGTATTCAAAAATAATTTAAAACAAAAAACAAATTAAACTTGCTCAAAAGTTTTGTGAACATACCAAAAAAGAATTTTTTTCACTATATATATATATATATATATACATGTTTTCAACTCCAAAACTTAGGTAGTTTTAATTAAGTAATTTATAACTGCTTTAAAATTACACAAATAACAACAAAGAATAATTACTGTATATCAATAAAGCTCTCCAAATATAATCTTGTAGATCAGTGACTAACATATTTCAAAATTTTGAATTTTACAAATGTTTTGTTGTATAAGACAGTGAGATACAAATCTATAGCTTGAGTCTACAAAATCAACATAAAAAATTATGAATTTTTACATAAACCATGGAAATGGTTGGTGAAAGAAAAATTAATTGTGATAAATAAAAAGTAGATAAGATTTTATAAAAATTAAATATTATATAATCTGTAACAATCAACTTTACCTAGCAACAATTGTTCATTTGTAACTTTTGAAATATGTTGTTCAGTCTGATAAATGTTAAGCTTAAAACACTTACCAAAGTAGTTATTCTGTCAGATTAGTCTAATTTTTTTAGTTTGATGGCCATATTGTAGTTTTGAGCTTAAGTCATCAGCCAAAGAAGTAACTTTTTTATGAATATGTGGAAGGAAAATAAGGCATTTTGAATTTTTAATTAAATAACAAATAATATAAGATAGCCTTTACAAGAGAAATTTGAAAAGTAAAGTTATAGGCCTATAAAAATAGGAGGAAAGCTATTTCTTTGCCTTTGGCTATCCTTGCATGTCATCCAGGATTTGCCTTACTCTCCAGAGATTATGAAATGTAATCACAGTACTGCAGCTATTGTGGTGAATAGCGGTATCAATTTCTAAATATCTCCAAGTGCAAAGTTTGTCTGGTAATTTGTTTCCTCAATGCAAAATGAAAAACAGCATCTGAAATTTATCACTAAATCATTAATGCTCATAAGGCTTTATGAATAGACAAAATATGGTGAGATGGTGTCATGAATCTAAAATGGGAAGAATAGGCATTTATCATCATAAATGTCCATTCTTAAACACTAAAATTTCTTCCTCCTCCTCTTCCTCTGTTCATTACAATTAATCATCAAGAATCCCTTAGACAAAAAATTTAGAACAAAATTCATGTTAATAGGTATTTGACAATGGATGAATTTTATGAACAAAGCTCAGAAGTGTCAAGAGCAACCTCTTTATGAGACAATGACTGAAAGATTAGAATATTGAAAACTATCAATATATGCAAAATAGGTGATAAAATGTTGGCTGAGGAGCAGAAGGTAAATCAAGTGACTTCAGCTTAAATCATTTCTTGTGTATTATGAGGAACAAGGTGATGTCTTTCTGGACTGCACACTGATAGGAGACGAAACAGGAGTATTTCATAATATATCTGAGCAATATTGCCATGATTGTTCTCCATTGGTAAAAAGATTCAGAACATTTATGTCAGAGAGGAAAATAATGGCAACTGTCTTTTGGGACAGAAAGAAACCTCTTCTTGTTGATTTCCTGTCTTGAGGAGACACCATAAGTGCTGCTACATATTGTAAAACCCTGAAAAGATTTAATTGAGCATTTCCAAAGAAATAGTGAGAAATGTTGACATGAGAAGTTTGCCTATTTCACAGTAATGCCATACAGCTTGTCAAACAGAAGTAGTTGTAGACTTTTAAGTTGGAAGTTTTGAGCCATCCTCTGGCAGTCTAAATCTCTTACCAAGTGGTCATCAACATATTGTGAAAAAGAAGTTTAATGACAACAATAAGATGAAAGATAAAGTAGTTCAATAGACAGGCAGCAGTTTTTTATGACTTAGGTATCAAGAAGCTCATTCCCAAATATAGAAGTACAAGTAATACATTGAGTTGAGAACTATGGTGATTACACTGAAAATAAATAAATGTATGTTATAAAGATATTGTAAGAAGTTGTTATGAAAATAAAATGCTTTAAAAAATTTTTCTGTATCTACTTTTTAAATTTCTCTCAAATACAATACTTTCATTCAAAACATAATTGTATTCTTTCACTAATCAGTAATGATTCATTTACAGTATATCAGTAATACATCAATTGCATTAGTTTAACAAAGTAAAATATTGATAAACTTGATATAGAAACTAGTTTAAAGCATTTTATTGCATTTTGGGATATTAGTTAAAATGATTTTAAAAAATACATGTTCCTAAATTTAATTTTATTCTAGTAATGCCAAGTTCACAAAAGTATCAAATAATGGTGAAACTAGAAAAAATTAAACAAACTACCACCTTTTTAAATATTCCAGCGAATAATTTAATATTGTTCTTGCAATATTAAATTATTTTCTGGAATATTTTAAAAGGTGGTAATTTTTTTTTTTTTTTTGAAGATTTAAAAAGATGGTAATTTGTTTAATAATGATGATGCAGACTACTTACCAAGATCTGATCAGAATTGGTCCATGGGCCTCCAGTTGGACTTATTATAAAGAAAAATTTGTGTAATTTTTCTTTATAATAATTATAAATTATTTAGTATACATAAAAAATTATGTAGAATATTCCTAACTATAAAAAATTATGCTTGTAAATAACATCGACTCACAGCCCGAGTAATATATAATCAATTGCCAAACGATCGCCTAAATATCGGGCTTTAACACGGCTAATTAAATGATTGGATTAAAGTAAATTTGACATTAGAGGTAGGCGTTAGGCGCCATCTCTTAAGTAAATTAATAATTAAAATTAAATAAATAAATAAATTTAGAACATTCTGGAATAAAAGAACAGGCGATCGTTTGGCAATTGATTATATATTATGCTTGCTTATATATTATTTTGATATTTATATAGCCTATTTATTTCTGTACTAAATTTAAGATATATTTTGCCATATTAAATTTCTTACTATATTTTCAGAATGTTCAGAATAATAAAATATGCATTATATTTTAATTTATGTAGAATATACTCATTGTTTTTCTTCTGATTAGTTAAATTATATTAAGCTTTGATAAACCAAACAACAGCCTTAATTAATAGCCCATTTAATGAAGCTTGTTGTTTGCTTTATCATCATTACAACAGGCTTTGGGATGTTATATATGTATTAAGCTTTGAATACTTTCAAATGCTTTCTTAAATTTAGAACGTTTTTTAAATATTTTATGCAGAGAGGAATGTTCCAGGTTATGTCTTTCACAGTGTAAATAGGTTTTGCTTATTTTTCACTTATTTGTAAAGGCTGATAAAAATTTTACTACTACTTGAAATTTCAAAATATTGATATATTTAATTATTATTAAAATACATACCTAAACTAGGTAGTAATTAATTAAAAATAAATGTCAGTTACATAAAATTAATCATTATTTACATATATTTGATGTTTCACATATTCCATTTAGTTTTATTATATAAACAACTCAATGAAAACTTGATACATTATAATAAAGCTCCAGCAACTGCTGTATGACATCGGGCTATATAATGACCCGATATTATACGACATTGCTCCATTTAGTTTTTTTGAACAAGACTGGAAACATGGTTACAAAATATTAATAGAATTGTTTTTTCTTACTCTATATTAGTTTATGAAAGTATTAAATCTAATTTTCTCCCCTAAATCTTCTCTCCCTATTTCTTAAAGACTTTCCATCACCATCTTTTAATTATTTGAAATAATTTTAATTTACAATACTTTTCTTTTTGTGTAACTGTTCTGTAATTTTTTTAATAAAAAATAGTATAATTTTAATTACAGTTTAATAGTTTTGATTGTACAACAAATAAATTATATTTTTTTAAAACACAATCACAAGAGAACATATTTTTAAAAATATTTAACTTCACTAGAATATTTCTTTACATGTAACTTGATACCAAATTTTTAATTCAGCCAGTAAATAGTAATTTTTCTATCATTTGTTTATAATTAAATAATTTTCAGATAATTTACTTTTAATTCTATATATGTCTATATATAGAGAGTATAAATTAAAAATGATAATTTTTTATTTTATTTACAGCACAACTAATTCAGTTAATCATATTATGAAGATGACTAGACTTAGAGTTATTGACAACAGTGCATTAGGTAAACAAGCTATGCTGGAAGGAAAACCACCTGTTTGCATTCATGTATATAAGAAAGGAAAACCAACAGGTATTGGAACAATAGGAGACAAAATTTTAGTAGCAGTCAAAGGACAGAAAAAGAAAGCATATATTTTAGGTGTAAAACAGAAACAAAAGGCACTCATTCCAAAATTTGATTCTAATAATATATGTCTTTTAAATGATGATGGTAGTCCAATGGGGACAAGAATAACCATGCCTGTACCTTCTATGCTTAGAGCAAAGGAAGGTGATTTCTCTAAGATTCTTGCTATATGTACAAAATTTGTTTGAATTTATTTAAAAATATGATTAAAAATTTTAAATAGTTTTTATGAAATATTGCAAATTAAACTCATCAAAACAACATTTCATAAAAATTGAGCAAAAGTTTTTGTAGTTAAATTTTCAATAAAATTTATTTTTATTCATGAAAATGAGTTTTTAGTAGATTTTTAGATCTGATAAAAATATTACAGTTTTGAAGAATATTCTTGAAAGTTGTAGTATTTAGGTAAATATTATTATAAACAATATGTGTATATGTATATACAGAGTTCCTATGCACTTGGAAAGATGGGGATTTTCATTAGTATTCGAAAAAAGTTGGGGAATTTGACAAAAGTTGTCAAAAAGTTGGAATTTGCCTCCTTGACTGCCTTGTTGATTTTTTTCGTCAAAATAAGGTAGATCAAGTGTAGTCATTCTGCAGGCAACAAGAAGTAATGTGGTACAATGCAACTTATGAAAAGGCATGCAGGATATTTTCAGGATCCAAAATTTCCTCAAAAATTATTGTACACAAAATAAAACCATAATTTATGAACCAATTAATAATTATCATTGCATAGTTTGGAAAATTCAAATTAAATCATACATATAAGTAAGTAGGCCTACCATACAATTTGCCGTGCAACACTAAACTGATAAGTTAATAGAGAAGTTGAGGCGCACGTTTTAAACGTGTAAACGTATACGTGTGACGTTCGGCGCCGCTTTCCCGTAAGCCTAAAAGTTTGACAATGGTGTTTGGATAGTCGGTGGAATCACGCTCGACATTTCAAATACCATCGTCAAACTTTTAGGCTTACGGGAAAGTGGCACCGAACGTCACACGTACACGTTTACACGTTTAAAACGTGCGCCTCAACCTCTCTAATATAAATATTTTACATTAAAAGAATACTTTAATTTAAGCCCACATGTTCATCATCATAGTATAGCATATACAATTATAAACTTGATGCAATATGTTGATTAATAGAAATAAAATTGAATTCAGTGCCATAAATGATTATTTTTAGTTTTAGCACAGACAGTAATTAATGGACTTTTTGACTTCCAAAAATACAAAATTTATTTAAGTTAAATTATTTTATATTTGTTTAAAAAAAACTGCACCATAGATATAATACATATATATTACTTATAGTAGATAAATTATTTTAACTAAAGTTAATAGGAAAAATTACATATATTTGAAATTTTAAAATAATGCAAATTGGGTTTGGGCCATGATAATTAATACTGGCTTCCTTATTTGCGTAGCCCCATCAATGTCTTAATGGATAAAACACTGGTAGTTGATTACAGGTTTGCATCTTACAATGGGCTGTTGAAGTTTTTCAGGTTTTCTTTACAAACCTAATACCTAAATAGAGTCAGTTTCCTGTAGAAAGTCTTCCTGGGAGGCATCCCTCCTTGCAAGATTTCCAGGTGTTGCATTGCCTTCTCCCATAAATCTATCCATTCTGAGATACTTAACTGCTTTCTTTATTTGACATCATCTGAAAACACTGAAAATTTTTGCATAGTGTGTAGTACTGAATAGTAGAAATGTTAATTAGAAAAAATGACTAATTAAAAAGTCATAGAAGCAATAGCATATTTGTATAGTAAGTCATATGTTGTTTTATTTTGTCAATGTGCTGTACTGTAAGAGATGATAGGATCAGGGAATTTGTACAAAAGTTGGTCTGGGAAAATCATGGAATTTAAAACTAAAATTTGAGGAGGAACCCTATATGTATGTACAGTATGTATGGAACCATATATTTGATGTTTCACATATTCCATTTAGTTTTATTATATAAACAACTCAATGAAAACTTGATACATTATAATAAAGCTCCAACAACTGCTGTATGACATCGGGCTATATAATGACCCGATATTATACGACATTGCTCCATTTAGTTTTTTTGAACAAGACTGGAAACATGGTTACAAAATATTAATAGAATTGTTTTTTCTTACTCTATATTAGTTTATGAAAGTATTAAATCTAATTTTCTCCCCTAAATCTTCTCTCCCTATTTCTTAAAGACTTTCCATCACCATCTTTTAATTATTTGAAATAATTTTAATTTACAATACTTTTCTTTTTGTGTAACTGTTCTGTAATTTTTTTAATAAAAAATAGTATAATTTTAATTACAGTTTAATAGTTTTGATTGTACAACAAATAAATTATATTTTTTTAAAACACAATCACAAGAGAACATATTTTTAAAAATATTTAACTTCACTAGAATATTTCTTTACATGTAACTTGATACCAAATTTTTAATTCAGCCAGTAAATAGTAATTTTTCTATCATTTGTTTATAATTAAATAATTTTCAGATAATTTACTTTTAATTCTATATATGTCTATATATAGAGAGTATAAATTAAAAATGATAATTTTTTTATTTATTTACAGCACANTTATATAAATTTCTCTGGGGTATATTTTTCAAAATATATACTATTTTTCCTTATTAAAAGATTTTTTGGTTTATTTAAATGAATTGAATTAAATGAATTTTGGAAAAATTACAGGAAAGATTTTATGAAATGTGGAGATAATGATCCATTATTCTAAATTGAATATTAGGTTACTTGGGTATTTCAGGTTTAAAAATATATAAATATATCATTGGATAGTTTTTTTGTTCTGCACTTAATAAATCAGAAATCTTGAAAAATAATGATGCAAGCATCCGAAGCAGATTTACTACAAATATTCCAGCAATAGCAAAATTTGAATTTTCTGTTTTGTTAATAGCAGTAATTTTTCAGAATGAATTTTATGAAATTTTTGATCAACTGAATCTGAATAAAAATGTTAAGAATATGGCTTAGGAGCAGTATGATTTTTGTCAGAAAAATCTAACATTTATTTGTTAAAAGCTGTGAGATTTGTGTCCATTGAGGAGTAACCTTTTTCTGTATGTTTACATGTAATAAAATGTTCTTTACATTTCACAAATAACTTTAAAATTATTTGTAACAATTTTTTGTTCATAAAGGCCTTGGAATTAATCTTAAATTTTACTCTGAATCAGTTAATTTTTTAGTTCCTTTCAATTTATATACTAGAAGTTAAAATATGCTTTCAATATTTATATAAGTTGTGAAAGTTATATTTTCTGACTGTTTTAACTGTAATTATGTGAAAAATATTTACAAATTAGAAGAAATCAAAAAATTGTTTCACACCTTGTACTTGGATTTACTATTAAAATCAAAATTCATCCATAATCTAGATCAGGTCTAGATATGTCCTGTATTTAAGTGTTAATTTTCTAATAAAATCTTTTTACTTCTAAAAAAAAAAATCTTTATTGTTCAATGTGCTGAAAGAATCCAATATTTATTTTAGGATGTCTAAAACTAAAAATTGTTTTTTATTAACACAGAATGTACAAAAATTCTGTTTGTTTGAAAATTACATCTTTCAAATTGTAGATAATGTTAGTTATTGTTTTTCTGAAGTTTATTGTTTAGGTAGCATTTTACTTGTACTGTTCTTAAAAGTCATCTCTTTGCTGTCTCTTGGAACTATCTTTGGATCTTGTTCCCTAGGGTGTATATAATAAAGCAATTTTAGGACATCTGTCTTTGTCCATTTTCTTCATATGTTCCTTCCATTTCATTCTGTAATTGGAGGTATTAACTATTCTTGTTATTTTTAATTCTTGGCATATCTCAGTATTCCTTTTTCTATTTAATCTTTTATATCATGTTACTGGTCTTAATACTCTCATCTTTGATGCTTCAACACTTTATCTCTCTTTCCAATGACCATGTTTCAGAACTATGGTATACTGATAATTGGTTTACTCATCATTCTGTATACATTTTGTATATGTAGGCTATTCCGTTTCACATGTTTTCTCAGATATTGGTTAATCATTTCATTATTTTTGCTGAATATGTTTTTTTATATTCTATATCTTTGTTTATCTGGACTGATTTATGTTGCAAAGATATCTGAAATTTCTAACTTGTTCTATTGACTTATTGTAAATAACTATTTTGCAAATTAGGGATGGAAAATCATTGATTAATCTTTTCATTTTTTATAGTTATGGTAGAAGTTTGTTTATCTGGCACCTATGAGACCAGAGTGGTGGTAGATTATCAAAAATGCTAGATTACCAGATATTATTGTATTTTCATAAAATTCAATAAGTTATAAGTGATCTGAACATTGCAAATATTATTGTACATTTTGAACCAGTATGTGCTGCTGCATGCTTCCAGTTTGTTTATTCATACTCTAATCATCTGTCTGAAGATGATACAGTGCATGACTATACTGTTCTGTTAAACAGTTTTCTACATTATTTTAAATATGATCAGAAAAAAATTGATCACTAGATTTCTTAATAAAAATAATGCAAATGATTAAATAGTAATTAAATCAGACAATTTTTCAGCCATCAGTTTTATGTTAAATCTCACACTTTACAGGATATTTAAAAATACAAAATAATTTTTATATTCTATTATATTTTCCATGTTTTTATTTTCTGTTCTAGTTTATGAAAATATAAAGTAATATATTTTTAGCAGCTATATTTTTGTTTTTATATTTGATTTTTATCTCCTTTTTAAGTGATAGATCTTTTATAGAGTTATTTAAGAAGCAGTTAATAGTGATTCAATGTTTTGTTTGTTAAATTCCCTCTTCAGTATTATATTTTGCATATAATATTTTTATGTAGCTTCTTTTATAGTACTTAAATTTTAAAGATGATTTTTAAAATATAATTGAAATCAATATGCTCATTCTTAAGAATTTGCTATTCTTAAGAATATGCTATTCTTAAGAATTTGCTATTCTTAAGATTATGCTATTCTTCTCTAAAAACCAGATTTGTCTTAAACCACAGTACTACTCAAACCTGCAAAATGCAGTATAATTTTAATTTTCAAATGTTTTCGGTTGCCTTAAACGACCTTCTTCAATTTGTTTTTGAATTTGTTTCTTTCTGTTTTGAAGGTCATTTAAGGCTATCAAAAACATTTGAAAATGAAAATTGTTCTGTATTTATTTGTCTTTTCTGTCCTAGAAAAAGTTAGTTTTAAAATAAAATATTATATTATTAA